TTAGAGCAAGATGGTGCCCTTGAGGCAGACTTCAACTTCAGTTTTGAAAAGCTCCTCTCTGCTTGAGCCACAGTGACTGGCAGAGTAAGTGCAATCCTGAGAGCAGTCCAAAAGTTAGGGTAGATCTCTGATAGATCCTTATCTTGCAGAAAAGTGATGAGCTCAAGGAGGCTCATGGTTTTTGATGGCAGGTGAGGGAAGTTCTTCATTTCCTGCACAAGCTCTCTACTGTCCAAATCAGAGTGCCCTTCAAAGTGCAGTGTTGTGCCTAGTGCATTGCTCTGCCAGCTCCTCATCTGCAAGACTTGGGAAATTTGTCAAAACTCCAAATTTGTTTTCCACATTTTCCAATGTAGTAAACCTCTCCCTGATGACTGACATGGCTGCATCAACAACAACATTGAAGAATCCAACCTCCAACTTCCTAAGGGCATCACTGAAAGGCTCATCATGTGATTCATTTTGGACCTCAGCCTTTTTTGTTTCAAAACAGCCTTCACATTCATTTCTTCACAAATGTCTTTGGCCGCCATCTGTGCAGTCACAAAGCTACTTGCCCTGCAGCTCTGGAGACCTCGCTCAGTCTTATTCAAAAAACTCACAGCTAGGTCCACATGCATATTTGGAGACTGCATAAGTTTGCTGACATGCTGTATTGCAGATAGCATGTCATACCAAACAACCATGCAGATGCTGAAGCTATACGATCCCACCTCCTCAGACAAAGACTGGGCCTCAGCCTTTATAGCATGGTCTTTGGTATTGTCTCTCACCTCAATTAAAGCCGCTCTCACAGCGGCTCCCTGGTACCTCATGGGCTCAACGCTCTTGACCTTGCCCTCCCACCTTGTTTCTGACCACATCTGTAAGGTGATGCTCACATGGTTTTTCAGTATGGCCCATCTTTGGAAGGAGGCTGAAAATAACATGTAAAGCTTTTGCAGGACACCAAAGTAACTCATAGCATCAACAGATCCCTTAGCAGCATCACACACAACTAAATTAAATGTATGCAATCCACATGGCACAAACAGAGCTTGGGGATTCTTTTCTAAGAGCCTTACTTGAACTCCCTTATTTTTGCCTTCATGTTTGCCCCGTTGTCGTATGATTGTCCTCTGCAGTCTTCAAAAGGAATTCCCAACTCCTCAAGTCTTGTCAGGATCATGGATGCCAAGTGCTGGCCTGTGGACTCCTCTGCCTCCAAAAATCCCATAAAATGTTCCCTGATATGGGGCTTCTCCATCAGTGACACCACTCTAATGACCACTGACAACTGTTCTGTGTGGCTTATATCTGGGGTGTGAAGGGTCCCGTTCTAGTTACCATGCTAACTCTGAGAGACGAGACAGTCCAAGTAACTTCAAAACAGTGCTGATTTATTCAAAGGATCACAGGTAAAATTAACATTACACGCTCAGTTGTGACTTGCTGTTCCTCTTTCAACACGGTTAAGGTGATCTTTCATAATGGGATCAAACCTGGCCATAAGTTCGACCTCTTTGAGAAAATTCCCATTTGATGGTGTGAACAGTGTTTCTGTGTGTCCCCTTAGAGCCAAACTTTGAACTGCCAGTGACTGTCCAATAGCAGTGAGACGTGTCAGCACTGCTCTCCATCTTTCCCTCTCATGCTGGGTAGAAGTAGAGGCAAAGAGGTCTTCATCCTCAATATCAGATATTTGTGGAGACATATGAGTAGCTGAGGACATACGTAGATGGTAGTTCATCCTGAAGAGTAGAGACCATTTCAGCAGAGTCCTGTGTAGTGGGGGAGGTGGGTGGCTCATCCTGACCAGTGGCAGAGGATGCTCCAAAATATTTTAGAAATGCCCCTGAAATTGCAAGTTAAATTGATATCAAAATACTGTAGGTTACAATATAACTCTTATAAATTGCAAATTTAAATAAAAATGCCCTTACATGCTAAATGTCTGTCATGACTCTTTAGATGTTATATTAATCTAATCTAATCTAAGGGAGGAACAATTAGCTCTTTGGTTAACCTACTGCCTCGAATTATATGCTTTGTCACATAACAGAGTTATAGCAAATGGCAAATGTTCGTCTTTGAAACTACCTACACATATGTAAATTCCACTGGCTAATTACAGGGGCCAACATTAACCCGAATGATTGAAGCAAATAATAACTGTACTTGTAACAGTTTTGTTGCAAAGCACAATTTTCTGGTGAAATTATATATTGTGTCGAGTAAAGACAGAATTATTGTTGTATAAGCGTAGCAAGCATCATAGCAAGAAGGCTAACAAACTAAGAGTTAATGTTATACCAGTAAATTAACATTAGCCCTTCACTGATGACATGGATACCATAATCATACAGAACATAGTTGCATACCTTTATCCTTTGCTCGTTTCTCCTCTTCTTTTCTCTTTTTCCTAAATTGGGCACCTGACAGTTTTGACCTTTTTCTCTCCATCGCTTTTTTTTTTTTTGTTTTGTTTTTTTTTTGCTATCAACAATCAACAGATTTCACATCCCGCAACACTGTCACTCACGACCAGAAGTCAAGACTAAACCAATTCACCTTGTATTACCTATCTTTATTAGCCATTTCACACAATTTGGAAAAAACAAAAACGTGCAAATTATCGGTCTGTGTTTATAATATTATGAATGAAATGTGCATTATTTGGAAGAAAGTCAAGGTGTCATTGACTTAGTTTAGCCTACTAAGTGGATAAAATGTACTGAAAATTAACTAATGAAAATCAGTCTTTGCTTTTGAATTGTGGTTCAACAGAAGAATTTTAAAAAAGAAACTAATGAAACTGGCCTGGACAAAAATTATTAGGCTTCCATATCCAATATGGAAGCCTAATCATTACCTTTCGATTTATATTTTCTTTTTTGTGTTTATAGTTTCTCTTGTTTTGCTCTTACTTTTTTTTTGCTCTTATTTTCTATGTTGTTGGTCATGCATTTTATCTGCTGTCCTGTGAAGCGCTTTGGCCTCCTACCGAGTTGTAAAGTGCTATACAAATAAAGGTGTTCTGTGATTCAAGCTAGGGTTGTTTATAGGTAAAGGTGTCGAAGAAACAAAAGGCGAGGCAATAAAATATGGGTGACCCTTGTGTTGGTGACTGATCGGTACTTCTCAACTCAGTCATTTGTCACCAGTCCCAGGGCAATGGTGATCAAATCGTCCTCCGACACTACAGCAGCCGGAGGAGGGAAGTCATCTCTCAGTATGTCAAACTTATTTCTCAGCTCATTGCCCTGAGCTGAAGATGACCGTAGCGGAAAAACATTTCACTGCAGCTTGCCAACAATTCTCCAGGGTTCCGACTGCTGGAGAGTGGAGCTAACATGGATTTTTGGCCTACCTCCCTGCTACCTCCCTGCTGCCTACTGTAGGGCTATAGGTATTGAATAGGTCCACAGAAGCTTACAGGAGAAATTGCTAGAAACTAAAGTTTGGAAGAATGAAAAAAAGCACCATGTCCATTTACAGGAGTCAGTAATGTTTGAGTCAAAATAAGATAATTGGTGTTCTTCAAGAACTTAATTTAGTCCCATTCCTCAGTCCATTCCTTTCTTTTGTTTTCTGCACAATATATGAATTGCTGTGTGCGTCTTGTAGCATACCAGCTATAACAAACATGACGTGCATCTGTGCACACCATGGTGTACTGACCACTGCACCTGAATTTGAAATTTGCTTTGATATTCCAGATTAAAACAACAAATCAAATCTTTTCCTGAAATTATCAATTTATATTAATCCACTACCAAATATAAGAGATTGTTAAAACTCAAATGTGTCCTTTTACTGGAACAGAGCAGATCAATACTGGGGCACATGACCCCAGTAAAAGGGGTCTAACGATGCCTATGAAGAGAGGACAATTTTTTTATATTTACAATATTTGACCCATTTATGGCACCACTAATGTGGCAACATGAAAAGTGAAAGTGCAAGATACATTGTCTGCATGTAATTTGTTTATTTAATCAGTACGTAAGCACTACGTCATGGGTACTTTGTCTGGGGGGCGACAGTGGTGCGGTGGGTAGAGCAGTCATCTCCCAACCGGAGGGCTGAAGGTTCATATCTCAGTGCCTGCATTCCACATGTAAAGTGTCCTTGGGCAAGACACTCTTGGTAGGTACTAACCACTGCAGATCAAGAACACCCACCAAGACCTGCAGTGTGGGAGATGCTCTGACCCAGTCATCTCACCATCACAGTTTGGCCCTTGTCAAAATCACTCAGATTCTGACACGTGCCCATTTTCCAGCTTCCAACACATCAACTTTGAGGACTGAATGTTCACTTGCTGCCTAATGTACCCCACACACTGACAGGTGCCACTGTAACAGTCAGTGCTATTCACTTCACCTGTCAGTGGTCATAATACTATGTCTGATTGGTATACATTCAACACAGAACCATAAATCAAGCTTAAGACCTAGGTGCTCACAATCTGCCCAGACCTCAGCAATTAGTAGACCTAAAAAGGAAGCAGACACACCCATACACACCAACAAGCACAGCAGAAACACACACTAGACAGGCACATTGAATAAGGCACTGAATAGGGGCCATCATTGTAAAGAACAAGAACAAAAGTTATACTTTTCATTCATAGCAAACAAATATCCCCAAAATTTGCAGAATATTGCATATCAAACCTGATTCCTCAGTATCTCTTTTTCTAGCATCCCAGGCTTCAGTAATGACATGCACAGTTTATTAACTAAAACTGAGTCAGTCTAATTCAAGTCCTACAATAAATTCATGTTTCATGAAGGTGATAATTTTAAGTTTTTGTTTAGTTTCATATGTGTTGATTAAACTTTATGATCAATAGGAGGCTGTAGTTTGTACTGAATATACACTGAATTATACAGAGAGATGTTTCTGTTTTTTATTCTATTAGAAAACAAGTACATGTTTTATTTGAAATTGGTGTTTTTTTCCTTCTCAGTGTTGGAGCAGTATGGAAGGTATAAGGCAGAGACCATCAGTGCTGCGTCAAGTTTCTCAAACTTTCAGCCAACAACATGGTATGCAGACATTTTGGTGTCCTCAGCTCTACATCACCAGCATTATCATTCTATCTCACAACTGTTTTATGTATGTATTTGTGTTATTTATATATTTGTGTATTTTTATGCATGCTTTTTTAAATTTATTTTTTTTCCAGTATGCACAAACAATGTTAGCCTTGATATTTAAAAAATGGGTTTTGGAGATGATCATTCCCATATTGACACTTGATGGTATTTTCATTTTCTTAGACAGTAGAGCATCTACAGCATATTTTGCTGCATTTATTTCAGAATCAGAATCTGCTTTATTGGCCAGGTGTGGCCACATGAGGATTTTGACTCTGGTACATTGGCTCTCAATCTCTATGTACATATCCTCATGCAAGGGGCAAGTAAACAGTAAACCAACAAAAGGCTGTATAATATAAAAAAATAATAAGCAGTATTAACAAGCAACAACCAGTGCAAACAATGCAAAATAACCAGTATAAACAGGCAGTAAACAATGCAGACAGACAAAGGAATGCTCATTGAAATGACATAATAGGAATAAAGGAATAAAAATAGAGTACTTAAAAATAGAGACCTGGGCAAGAGGCAAGTAAACAGTAAATAATATAACAAAATGAGCAGTATTAACAAGCAACAAACAGTGTATACAGATCAAAACCCTACAGAAATGCTTTCTTGCCCAAATGTTTCCAGAAACTACTGCAGCTGTCTCCATTTGCATGAAAGAGGTGGATGCAAGCCGTTTTCATCAGGCCTCTTCACCACAGATGGGCTCCAATCCAAAGCAAAGCCATCATTCGCCCCCCTTGAGGAGAGATGGTCCGAAGCAGAGCTCCTTTGAGGCCAGGCTTCACGATGGGTGAGAGCCTCACATTTAAATGAATCAGTTCATCATAAAAGAGCAAGTTTGTTTGCTGTCAAATTAATGTTTGCTAAAAAGAGAGAGAGAAAAAACATGTTGCACTAAAAAGCTCAAATATGGCTGCACACTGGAATCAACATTTCTTTATGCTGTTTTTTTGCATCTGGGTTATATGTGTGTTTGAAAGGGGCATATGACCACTAACCCTTCCCTGAGGTGTTTGGGAAGGGTTAGTGAAGTAGTATAGCAAGGGCCCTGCAACTACAAGTGAGAACTAGGGCCACTGTTTCATCACTTAGTCAAACTATTTCTCAGGTGTTGGACCTCATTATGGTTTTGCCTTCTCATTGATTAAAAATATTATGTTACCTGATTCAGAGAAAGTAAATTCTTAAAATTCTTTTAACGTTCATCATACACAATGAACTACACCATTCCAAAACCCCCTTGTAAAAGAGTCCCTTGGTCTCAGTAGGGCTAATTATTTCCTGGTTAAAATTGTTAATAAATAAATGAATTAGTGAATGGGTGCATGGTAAGGAAAAGGATGTTTTTATTGTCATTTCAGAACATGTTATACATGAAGAGGAACAAAACTGTGTACTCACAAATACACATTTAAAAATAAGGGTACAAATAAAAGTATAATGACAAAGTGTGAGGATAAATAATACTAGTAATAGTGGCAGCACAGTGTTCAGTGTGATTGCAGTAACATCTGCAATAAAATGTGGAATTTATCAGCCTCAATTTGCAGCGGATTTCATCAGGATGCTGAACTTGTCAGGCAAGCATCAGGGAAGAAGCTCTTCCTCTGTCTGGTGGTTTTGGCTCTGATGCTGTGTTACCTTCTACCTACAAGCAATCTGTTAGTAGGATGGGTCCCTTGTGATATTAGAGGCTTTTTCCTGCACCTGCTGTTGTAAATACTGTATCACTGATAATGGATAGGCTATTGCTAATGATCCTCTGTGTAGCATTTTCCTGCAGTGACAGCCATCTACAACATAGATACAATACTTTGAAGGTCAAAGGTCACTCAAAATATATATATTTTTATTATTATGCAACATTTATATGATCAAATAAATTGCTTTAGATATTTTGAAGGTGGAAAGCTTTGTACAATATCAGAATATTTAGATGCAGTGAATTCATCAGCTGATACTGTAAACAAAATTAAAGAAGCCTGATTTTAATGTGCAACTCCAGCAAAACACAGACATTATAGAAACAGCATGTTTTCATGTAAAAGGAATGGTTTGCTATTTATCACAGCACAGTAGCTGACCACAGCAAAAGAGGTGTCTGTATATTTTTGTCCTGCCCACTGACATACATGAGAGGGTCAGAATATTAGGAACACCTCTGAATATAATGTAGTCCAGTACAACACCACCTTTAACTATTACCTCAGTAATTAACATATGTGAATCATCAGTGTGAATTCCATACCGGATCGGTCGAGGTCTGGGTTAACAGCGACCGCCACCAGTGCTGTTAACCTACAGGGTGCTGGCGGAAATTGGTGTTGGTCAATGAAGAAAAGGAGGCAGAAGGATTTGTAGACAGAGAGAGAAGAGGAAAGGCAGGAGTATAGGTCTGAGAATAGGGACCCTTAACGTTGGCACAATGACAGGGAAAGGTAGAGAGCTGGTGGACATGATGGAGAGAAGGAAGGTAGATATACTGTGTGTGCAGGAGACCAGGTGGAAGGGTAGTAAAGCGCATAGCATTGGAGGGGGATACAAACTGTTTTATTATGGTGTGGACAGGAAGAGAAATGGGGTAGGAGTGATTCTGAAGGAGGAGCTCGTGAGGAAT